GTGCAGTTGGCCATGTGGGATCCAGTCACTTTAACCAACATTCCACAAACTAGTTCAACCCATCAGGATCTTTATATAGTAATTTACTCCTGGCCACAGCAACCAGACTCACGGGCATGTGTGGTTTCCAGATGTGTGCACTGAAAAGGAAAAGCAAACTGGCATGGATCCTTGTACACCACAACACACTGTCCCTCTTGATTACCTTGGAGTCTTCAGTGGCTCCCGTGTCTCCTCAATCAAGCCCCAAGTTTAGGACATTCACAGTAGATGTCATGCCCCAGTTTTCCCTCCATTTTCAAATTGCTATGTCTCTCTCTCCTTTCTTTTTTGTGTGTGAAATATCACCTCTTTCTACTTCATAGAAGTATCCCCAACAGCTTCCAATAAATATAAGTACCAGGTTGAAATCCTATGACTAGGAGGGGCAGCAGGTTGTTAAGGTGTTGGACTCCCAAATGACTGACATAGTTTGAGTTGCAGATCTGGTAGCTTGAAAAAAGACACCAGGCATGTGCAGGCATGCTCAAAATCCCAAGAGGAGAATGGAGGATAAGGGATTACAGCGTGACCATTCTGCTTGGTGGGGAGAGGGAGGAATGATTTCTCATTCCCTCTTTCTCTCTGTCTTTCTCTGGTGATTGCATGCACCCTATGACAAAAACAATATTAATAGATAAATGAATAAATAAATAAATAAAGTAGGGACCACCAAGTAGCATATGGTTAAGGTACTGGGCTCTCACATGGCCAACCATAGGTTGAGTCCTGGATTAACAGCTTGAAACTGGCCCCCAAAATCCTGAGAAGAGACTGGATGGAGAAGAGATTGTGGTATGGCCATCTCCCCAGGCAGGGCGTTGATTACACACTCTTTGTCTTTATGTCTCTCTCTGATGAACTCATATGCCATATAGCAAAAATATTTCCAAAAACTTTTTTAAAAAGGGCTATGGTTGAGGTGACAAATGACTTTAACTTGGGTGTGGATGAGGATAATATTGAGAAGCTTTTAGATGTGGTTCCCGAGGAACTGACTGACAAGAAGCTTTTGGCACTGGAAATGAAATGTGTAGCTGACCAAGGAGCAAGAGAAAAGGAAACTACACAAGAAACAAAGAACTTTCAGAAAAACTCTCTGTGACAGGTTTAGCAGAAACCATGATAGAACTCAAAAACCTCCTTCAAAAGCTTGAACACATGAATTACTGTGACATTATTTGAAATTGATAAGACATGCAACCAACCCAAATGTCCATGAACAGTTGCATGGATTGAAAAAGGGTGGCACATAAACATCTTGGAATACTAATTAGTCATAAAAAAATGAGACCCTATCATTTAACAGAAAGAGGGCAAATAGCGAAGGTTTTATGCCAAGTGAAGCAAGCCAGACCATGAAAGAGAGACATTCTATGTCCCCACTCAAGATATACCCAATGTCTTCACTCTATGGCAGTAACTGAAAGATTGGAAGTACAAAGAGATGGAGAACAGGCTCCTGAGATCTAGCCATTTGGGGAGAAAGGAAGATGTCCCACTGATAACTGGGCCTCCAGCATCCAAAACTCGCGTGAACAGCCCTTCTACAAGAGACAGCCAGCTCCATGGCTCCTGAGATCTAGCCATTTGGGGAGAAAGGAAGATGTCCCACTGATAACTGGGCCTCCAGCATCCAAAACTCGCGTGTTTGGGAAGAAACCGACCATCCACCAGATGACTAGAAATCGCTGCAGGACCACAAGAAATATGGGGAAGCAGGAAAATACCTCTCCCACACGGGAAAAGGATAGCTCCTCTTTATCCACACACAGTTCAATGGAAATCATGGAAATGTCTGATAAAGAATTCAGAACATTCATAATGGCAAAGCTAACAGAGATGGAAGAGAAGAGAGACAAGGAACTGCTGAAGAGAAAGGAGAAAGGAGTTGAAGAGTTCCAGGAGGTGAGGAAATTCATGCTAGATCTAAAAGAGGAATTTCACACTTTACAAAAGAATCAGATGGAACTGTTAGAGATGAAGGCTATAATACAAGAAGTCAAAATCTCCCTTGAAAGTATTAAAAGCAGACTAGATCATACAGAAAATAGAATCTCTAATGTAGAAGAGAAAATGGTTGGCCTAGAAAAATCCACCGCGAAGACTGAGAAAATGGCCCAAAAATTTGAGAATAATATGCGAGAAGTACTAGATACCATCAAACGTCCAAACATCCGGATAATAGGCATCCCAGAAGGTGAAGAGACTCATAAGGGCATTGATAATCTATTCCATGAAATCTTACAAGAAAATTTTCCAAACCTGGAGAGGCACTCAAAGATTCAGTCCCAAGAAATACAGAGGACCCCAAATAGAATCAACCCAAGAAGATCTTCTCCAAGACACATTATAGCCAGATTGACCAAAACCACAGACAAAGACAAGATACTAAGACTGGCAAGAGAAAAAAGGCAAGTTACCTACAAAGGGTATCCCATCAGACTAACGGCAGACCTCTCATCGGAAACAATGAGAGCGAGGAGAGAATGGGAAAATGTATTCAAAGTATTAAGGGAAAAGCAATTTCAACCGAGAATTCTGTACCCAGCAAGGTTATCGTTCATTTGGGAAGAAAAGACACGAACTTTCCCAGATAAACAAAACCTGAAAGAATTTACCAGCACCAGACCGGATCTCCAAGAAGTTCTTAAGGGAGTGCTATGTCAGTAAAATTAAATGCAGACACACAGAAATAAGAGTTCAGAAACTAAGAAAATGGGCAACTTAATTGTAGGGCCAAAAGCTGGAGTTGAGTATTACATCCCAGATTTCAATCTGGAACATCGAACCTCAACAGATACAGAAGAAAGATTAAGTACATGAGACTGAACTGATGAAACAGTATTCTACGACTTGACTAAAATATTGCTGCTTTTCTTCTAAGCTTTGTTGTCTGGTTTTAAGGACTTTTGTCCTGTCTTCAGCTATCAATAGATTCATGTTCCGACTATTTGAACAGAATACTAACCTGTTTCTAGGCTTTAAGTTTCAAAGAAATATCCTTACCAGTTCAAAACTGCTTTTCTTGAAACCATCGGCTGATCTTGCTATTGAAAGTAGTTAGATTACTTATGATATTGTGTGACCAACAAAATGTTGGGGGAAAAGGGATTGAAGACAACTGTAGACAGCAGAGATAGTGTAATAAGAGAGTGGAATAGGGCAGAGGGCTAGACATGGGGTAAAAAAACATATATATGAAAGTAGAAATGGAATATTATGGATGATAACATGCATTATTAAGCCACTATATAGTATATTCTAGATGGGAAACCACATTTAGAATGTTGTGATGATGCTCAGGGAATGAATGTAAATTAATAAAAAAAAAATTTTCAGAAGAAAAAAAAAAAGGCATTAGAAATACCTATTTGATGACTGCAGTTAAGCTATATAGCCCTAGTTAGGTGCTACTTTACAGTATGTTCATTCTATTCACTGAGGTTTATGCCTAAAGTCAGTCTTGTGTTCATGGATATGTACATATCAGCTGTGCTTGCTATTGAAAATATTTAGATTTATTAAGATATTTAGTGAAACAATAAAATGGGGGAGGCATAGAAAGCAACAATAGATACCAGACACAGTGTGGGAGGAGGGTGGGAGATGGCAGAAGGTGAGATAGGGAATCAAGGATGGGAAAAAAGGCAAAATATACAGAAAACAAGAAATGGAAAATGATTTGTTGACAATAACATATATGTTGATGTGCTTGATTGAGCCAATATACAGTGTATTCTCAATGGAAAAATCTCATTTTGTATGCTATAATGATGTACAGTGAATGAATGTAAATAAAGAAAAAAATGTATAAAAAAAAATAAAAAAAAGAACCAACCTAAATGTCCACAAACAGATGAATGGATTGAAAAAGTGTGGCATGTATACTCTATGTAATACTACTCAGTCATAAAAAAAAAGACCCTGGCACTTAGTAGGAAGTGTTTGGATATGGAGGATCTATTGCTGAGTGAAGTAAGCCAAGATATGAAAGAAAGATATTGTATGTATCCACTTAATAAATACCAACTATCCGCACTCTATGGTAGAGAGTCAAACACTGAAGGACATAAAAGCAGTGAAGGTACTTAACAACGATGAGGCAGTGTGGAATGGGGTGGGGGGTAGAGAAGAGTATAGAGAAAGAGAGCAAGAGAACAAATAGAGAGACATGACATTAGTAGGACACAGATATGGTTTATTACCTGTTGATGATGACGTGTATAGTATTCTCTACTAGATTGGTCTGAAAAGTATTTCATGTCGGGTAAAATCTTTTTCACAAGCAAAATGAGAAATAGTGATTGACTGTTTAAAAAATAATTGGAATAATAATAATAATGATCAGAAAAAACAATGAAAAGATACTGGCTGATGAAATGGGGATTTCAATGTCTCTGTATTGACTGATATAGATGGTACTCGTCCTGGAAAAAGAAATGTAATACACTGTAAAGTTAAAAAAAAAATTAAAAGAAAATAAAAGAAAAAAAATTAAATCATTCTTTAAAAAAAAAAAAGAGATGGAGAACAATTATGGATACTAGGGACAGTGTGAGAAGAGGGTGAGAAAAGGGGGAGGATAAGAAGGAGGAAATCAAGGGGAAAGAGGCGGAAACAGAACATTAAAGGAACATAAAAATAGAAAATTATCTGTTGATAACATGCATGGTAGTTATCTTTGATTGGGATAATATACATTATTATGGGTATTAATTATGGGTAAATTCATTTGGTATGCTCTAATGATATACAGTGACTGAATGCAAAAAAATAGATTTTTTTTTTTAAAAGAAGAAAATGTTTGAGAACATGATCATTATGCTATTATTAAACAATCGTTATACCTTACTTTGAGGTTTACGGTCCTGCATTCACTGGGTCTCCTTGAAAAATAGTCCTTATAGCTTCCCTACAAAATATCTTTTTAAAACTCTCTTTATGTCTTTATTCCTCAGACTATAGATGAAGGGGTTCAGCATGGGTGTGACCACAGTGTACATCACTGAGGCAGCTGCACTTGAGTGTGAGCTACCAGTAGTGGCGGCACTAAGGTACACACCTAGGATTGTACAATAAAATAAGAAGACAACTGAGAGGTGAGAGGCACAGGTGGAAAATGCTTTATGCTTCCCCTGAGCTGATGATATTGCACATATGGAGGAAACTATTTTACAGTAAGAGTAAATGATTCCAATAAAGGGACCACCAGCCAGCACCCCAGCTGAAAAATACATCACTATGTCATTAATAAAAGTGTCACAGGAGGCAAGGTGGATCAGCTGATTAAGCTCACAGAAAAAGTGAGGAATTTCCATGTGTGTAGAGAAGGACAGCTGCAATGCCATTAAAGTATTTGATAGTGAATTCAGGACACTCATGACCCAGGACAACAGAACCAGCCATGCACAGAGCCTTGGGTGCATGATGACCGTGTAGTGCAAGGGGTGACAGATGGCCACATACCGGTCATAGGCCATCACAGTCAGAAGGAAGTCATCCAGCCCTGCAAAGACTAGGAAAAAGAAGATCTGGGTGATGCAGCCTGTATAGGTGATGACCTTGCTCTGTGTCTGGATATTCACCAGCATCTTTGGGACTGTGGTGGAGGCGAGACAAATGTCAGAAAAGGAGAGGATAGAGAGGAAGAAGTACATGGGGGTGTGCAGGTGGGAGTCTGAGATAATCGCCAGGATGATAAGCAGGTTTCCGATCATGGTGATCAGGTACATAGATAGGAAGAGCCCAAAGAGGAGAGGTTGCAATACTGGTTCTTCTGAAAATCCCCCAAGAAGAAATTCTGCAATTTGTGTACCATTTCCTGGTTCTGTGTGGTTGAAGTAACTATTAAAAAGACAGAGAACATGACATAAGCATGTATTACTCATAAGCAAGATGCTATCACTTACATTCCACAGTCAAGACACTAGTTTATCACTCAGATTGAGCTTCCAGAAATTAGGAAGAAACCTATAACCCATCAGATGACCAGAAATCACTGCAAAGATACAAGAAATACGAGAAACCAAGAAAATATCTCGCACCCAAGGGAAAAGAATAACTGTTCTTCATCCACAGACAGTACAATGGAATTTGTGGAAATGTCTGATGAAGAATTTAGAATTTTCATGGTGACAAAGCTCAGAGAAATCGAAGAGAAGAGAGATAATGAACTGCCGAAGAGGCAGGGGAAAGGAGCTGACAAGCTTCAGGAGGTGAGGAAATTCTTGCAAGATCTAGAAGAGGAATTACACACTTTAAAAAAGAATCAAATGGACCTGACAGAGAAGACTGTAACACAGGAAGTCAAAAGCTCCCTTGAAAGTATTAAAAGCAGACTAGATCACACAGAAGATCAAATCTCAGATATAGAAGACAGAATCACTAACCTAGAAAAAACCTTAAAATAATAGTAATTTTTAAAAGATAGACATAAATTTAACTAAGATGTAAAACTTTATGGCCAAAAAAACCTACCAAAAGTCAATTTCAAAAATAATAATCAGTTAAAAATTATTTGAAATGCTTATAACTGTATAAAAATGGGCATAAAATAAACACAGGCAAATTAATATCTTGATCAAATATGTATACACTCAAACTCAGTTACAGTTTAAGAAAACCGTATGAATTTCCAACACAACTATCAGCCTGGTGAAAAGTTTAGAAGCTGTCATACTGATTTGTGTTCGAGTTTTCTTTTTAATTTTAATATTTAAAGCAAATGTTACATAATTTAAAAGTAATTTTATCATAATTTATAACTTAAATATAGTAATTATACACATTTATGAATTATAGTGTTGATTTTTAAAACGTGTATCCTCCCCTACTGTTTTCTTCTGTGTTGTGGGCTGTGTGGCATTTCCCCACTATTTTATCCATCAAAATAATTCTTCATGATTTCAGTCTTTCAGATGTCTATTAGACTCTCTGGTCAAGCCTTGGCCTGTTATTTTCTTTTTAGTTCTATTATAAATGCATTACCTTTTATCTTTCTTTATTGTCATTTCACTGGACTCTTTCTTCCACCTGAGCAGGATATCTGAGAGGAAAGTCTCTGTGTGAAATTATGGCTTTCTTCCTTGAAGGTTGTCAATGGAAATTGAAGCTCTATCTCTGGAGAAAACAGCAGGAGTGAAGCATCAGTTCTTGAGACAGACTTAGGATGGTGAAAGAAATAACCCTGTTCTGTCCAGCCCAAGTTTGCAAATGCTGAGGGACAGCCTTGTAGGAGATAATTATAGCTCTGTATCTCTGCTCATTAAGCAGATTTTCCTCTTACTCCAAACCCAAGGCACATTCCCTGTGAGACATTGCTCTGAGCAGGAAGTTAACTTTTTTCTCTGGCTCTTTGTTCTCAAGAGACAAGGTTAAAAAAATCAAGGGAATTCAGTCTTTACTACTCCTTCGACATTAACTCTCCATTCCATAAGTCTAAATTTGTAATACTTTATTCAATCTTGAGACAGTTTTCTCCTAAACTAAGACTTAGGAACCCATCTTAACTAGGTTTCTTGAATTTCCAAAATATTGAGTTGTAATAGGAATGTACCCACTGGTACCTCCAGGAAATTGCTTTCCTTCTCTCCATCAAGAGAGAACAGTGTTACTTTGATTAAAAAATAAATAAAATCACAGTTACAGGACCAGCAGGTGGTATGGTGTTTAAGGCACTGGACTCCCACATGGCTGACTGTGGTTCAGGTTCTGGACCTGGAGGTTTGAAAATCATACCAGAAACATGTGCATGTGTGTCCAAAATCCTGAGCAGAGGATGAAGGAGAAGGGATTGTAGCATGACAATTTCTCCTGGGGGGTGATTTCTCATATTCTCCTTTCTCCATCTCTGTCTCCAGCAAGTGCAAACACCCCATAGTAAAATTCTTAAAAAAAAAATCATAGTTTCTATAGTTTCATGATGTTTTTACCAAAAAAATTATTACTTTAATTCTTGTATGACAAATGAGCTCTCATGTAGGTTTTATTTTTTCATCACTTGACATATTCTTTAGGCAACCATTAAATTATTTTCTCTCACTATGTATCTGTTAGTATATTTAAAAATCTTAATTACTTTATAAATTTAATTAAATCTAAGTATATAATTTGACAACTTTTTTGAAGATTATTTAATTTATTCATTTTTTAAATTTTAATTTGATGAGAGAGAGAGAGCAAGAAAGTGAGAAAACAAGTCACCAGGCACAGGAGTCGAACCAGGCCCAGGAGTCGAACTGGGGTCAGCCATGTGGGAGTGTTCAGCATCCTAACCACCATGCCACCAGCTGACCCCTACAGTATGACAATTTCTAAGAAGGAGTCAGAAATCACTACTGTTATTTAAGTTAATCAATATAGCATTGGGGCATTCGATACAACAAAGGGTCTAGACATACAGCAGGCCTCTTATAGCTGAAGGCTGTGCACAAGAGACCTGTGGTTCATCCCCTCCCCCACTCACCTTTGAACTCTCAGGTGTGTTGCTTGAGACTTTGAGAAGAACTTTTCTCTCTCTCTGCCCAAACTGGACATTCATTCCAGTGGAGCACCTTGCCATAAGGTGGGCTGCTTGCAACTGGAAGTTGTATGGAAGAGACTCATGGTTCATCCCCACCCTGACTCAGCCGTGAATTCTCAGGTGTGTTGCTTGGGACTTTGAGAAGATCTTTTGCCTCTCCCTACCCCTCCAGATATCTGCTCCAGGGAAGGCCTTTACCATACAGCAGGTTACTTGTAGCTGGAGGCTGTGAGAAGACCGTATAACCCTTTCCACCCCATTCAGACATCCATTCCAAGGGGGCCATGCCATATGAGGAGGACTTTGAATCACCCAAGACCAGTGACAACAGTGCAGGTTGCTGGTGAGCATCAAGGAGGTAGAGCAGCAGAGAGATTGACAATCGCTTACTTCCACATGCCTTTGAATGCTCAGAGTTAACTCAAAGTATTTGAGGAAGGAGCATATAAATCCAGATGACAAGAAATCATTGTAGAGGCTCAAAAAGTATTAGCAACCATCAAAATATCTCTTCTTCAAGGGAAAACCTATTCCTCATCATCCACAGACAACACAAGGGAACTCCTTGAGATGTCAGGTAAACAATTCAGAATATTTGTAGTGACAAAACTAAATGAGATGCAAGAGAAAAGAGATGAGTTCCCGGAGATGAGGAAGTCCTTTCACGATTTGAAAGAACCAATAGACACTATAAAAGAGAATCAAGAAAAGGCGGACTGAGGCTGCAGGCCTGACCCTTCCGAATCTCCACACATCCCCACCGTTCTTCCTCCTTGGACCTCAGGTTGGTTGCCTGGGACTTTAAGGCAAACCCCCACCCCTCCCCACCCGAAATCTGGATCGAGCCAGCCAGCAGTTCCGGACACCAGGCGGACTGAGGCTGCAG